CCCCCCCCCCCCCCCCCCCATACCCTCCCCCCTCCCCGCGGTAGCATCCAGACACTTGTATGTATTGTTTTATATCTCTATGTGGATGTGAGGCCAAGTCGACCTTTGTTTTTGTTTTTGTAAAGAAGAGTTCTCCGCTGGGCACAATAACCGCCATCATTTCAGTAACTTTAAACTATTATTACCCTTATTTATTACCTGTTGCACCTCTATACTTTTCTCCTTTTCTTTTAATGTTGAAGCTTTGCTGTGTAGCCCCGCCGACCGATCATTCCTTCAGTGTTTTTCTTACAGTACGAAGATGACAGGACAAGACTCGAGTCTCTCACACACACACACACACACACACACACACACTGGTGCTAGATACACTGTGAAGCGTTTTTTTTTTTTGCAGATCTGGGATTGCCCTTTCACTCGATGTGACAGAGTGCTGATGAATCAAATTCTCATTCACTTTTCTCGATTACACTGTCTCACTCTGAACACTGTCGGGACCTCCATCGGGTCTGTCTCGGTCTGGGCAGGTCAAGCTTCAGACGCCTGACTTTTTCAACTAGACTGTCTATGATTTCGTATGCTATAGCAGATCTCTTATACAGTATCTTATGTCCTTAACTGTACAGTGTAGGCTGTTGTGTAAAACACTAAAAGCTGTTGATATTTTCTGCATTCCGTACTTTTCCGTATTTTCTGGCTAAAGGCAGAGCTGTTCCTCTCTTGAGTTTTGTTCCTGTGGTCACGCGCAGTTCCTCTTTGGTAAAACCATATCGAACTGTGAAACAGACCCGCTGTGTCGAGCCGTTGTGAATCGGTTTCGTTCGAAGACCACTTTGAGTCTTCGTGCTCTCGACCTGACGTCCCAGAGAAAGGAGTGCAAAGACGTGAACAAAATGTGCAAAGATTGACAATTCAGTTGACTTTTTATTTTATTTTTTTAAGTTAATTTAAGACTCCTGTCTTTGAAGGCAAAAAAAAAGACTATTGCAGTCGTCAATAGAACACAGTTGCTCTTTAAATTTCTAAAACAGCTTATTTAAGGGTTTGAATTCACTTCCACCTTAGCTGACACTAGACCAACTTCATTTCCTTTTAACTGTATGAAATTGTACAAAGAATAAATGTGTATATGATATCTTAGTTTTATTTATTGAAGGACCAAAGGAATTTCATAATGACATGATACATAGACAGATAAATAACAATTTGAATTGCAATTATCTAATGTGTGAGATGAATAACAGTTTAAATAAAGACTAATATAATCCATATAAATGGTGTTCTTATTGTCCACTTGTCTCTGTGCACGGCGAAATCAGGGGCCGTGAATCGGAGGACAACTTAGCGGCTGTGGGGGGGGGGGTTGGTAGCGGAGAAGAGGTCTGGGTCTGCTGGGTAAGGCCCCAGTAAGCCCAGTCTCCATGTAGCTCCACGAACAGAGGCCCCAACCCGCCAATCAAGTCCCAGAGCATCTAAAACCAGTGTTAGGGGAGGTTAACAAGTCCCCCCCCCCCCTCCTAAAAAAAACAATCCATCCTACCAGGATCTGAGGGGCGAGATTTGATCCGTGTCGACCAAAAGCGATAATCGTGTGTGTGGGTCTAAGAGATGTGTGTTCATGAGTTGTTTTTTGTTCCCCCTGCTCTTCTAAAAGCTATGGTTAATATGTAATTATGTACTTTATTGCATACAAATATGGAATCAGTGTTCAAAGTGAGGAAAAAGCAATGTGAATAGAACAAAACAAAACAGTGGGTATGTCGGGGGTCAGAGGGGGAAAACGTTTTGTCCAATTTTTACTGAGAAAACCGGAACAAACCTGCTTTGTAATGCAATCTGTTAGACATCTTTTCACCTGCCTCATCTGCCACCACGTACACTTGACTGAGTGCTCCGACAGAGAAGGATTCATTGTTAAATTATTGACACATGGCCATTTGCTGAGTATATGACTTATTGCTTGTATATAGGATTTTAAAAACACTATGAATGATGGCATCGGAGCTGAAGTCTTTTTTGTTTTTGTTTTACTGTTTTTCTTTTTCCGCGCAAGCAGTTCTGTTCTTGTGTGCGACCAGTAACCTTAATTTACTGTGTAAAGATGGTTACATTTTTTTAGCTTTGTTTGTCAGAGACCCAAATATAGAAGGCTTGTTTACTGACTGTATAACCTTAACCGTGAATTTCCAATTAAGTGTATTATACAAACTCCTTTCTTGCTATAACCATGTCTTGTACAATGCTTTTAAAGTTATTGCTCGGTTTAAAAAAAGACAAGAAAAGGACAAAAAAAAAAGAAGTTTTAGGGACAGTACAATAATCCATTCTTTGTTTAATGCAGTTTTTTTTGTTTTTTTTAAAACTTATAGCTGATGTGTCATTGTTTCCCCTTGTGAAATGGTCACATTATGTTCCTGGTGTGGACATTTTCAGCAGATCACGGCTCCTTGTCTAGCTTATAATGTTAAAAATAATACATGTTTCTGGCATGTGCACGACTTTGCGCTTATAGGCTAACCTGATCATTTTTTCCCTCCCCTTCGCTTTCAAATAGAAATGTCTATTTATGAATTTTGCTTGTAGTTTTTCACAAATAAAATTGTTAAAGTTATCTTATTTCCTGGCTGCTTTGTGTCTTCTTTTTTCTTTATTGACGCTGCTCGACCACGTGTATTTACGGAAGCGTTTAAGTTCGCATCTTCGGTTGCTTTTATGAGCCGTCAGATAACAGGAAGTGTTATGGATCTGAGGCGGCAGACTATTGATTGAGATGTCCCGGGGAGAGGAAGCCTCCGCAGTGCAGTGACACATGACACGAGGGAGCTCTCGTATTGACAAACAGCTTTCAATCATGTGTCCCTCCAGAGGCCCGTCAGCAGCCCACTAACGCTCCGACCAATGGCTGCGTTCCTCCGGCTCCACGTCTGCGATGGGAAGCGATCCATTCATCTCAGGTTCATCTGTTAATAGACTTTTTTTGGTGTTATAGTTTTGGAGTTTGGAATTTTTTGGGGATATTTCAAAATAAGGGATTTTGATGCATGATGGGAGTTTTCTTAGAATAAGTAATAAATCATAATACAAAATAAATACAAGTATTAGTTAGCATTTCTATCTATGTGTTGAAAGCCAGTTGAATTACTTTAAGAGTTGGATTTGTGTACAGTGTTCCTTGTTGCCTTTTGAAAACCTTTTTAACTTGACTCCTTGACTCCTTCACACCTCTCCTCATTCTCTCCCGTTTTCCCATTCTCTGCTCCATCTGTCCACAACCCTGATTCCTCCCCTCATCCCTTCATCCCTCACCCTTAATCTCTTCATCCCTCACCCTTAATATCACCCCTTCATCCCTCACCCTTAATCTCCTCTTCCCTTCATCCCTCTCTCTTCTTCCCTTCCTCACTTCATTTGTCACTATTCATCCCTTCATCCCCTTGTTCCTTAATCTTTCTCCCCTCTTCCCCTCATCCCTCTACCCTCTTCCCTTCATCCCTCAACCTTCATTCCCTCACCCTTCATCCCTTCATATGTATGTATGTCTGAACTTTCTGCTCCTTATCTAATCTGATTCTTTCTCACCAGTTTTCCGTGTGAAACCATTCAGGCCTTATTAAAATCCAGAGTTATGACCAAATCACTGGATGCTAATTATGCCCTGTGAGCTAACACTCGACTGGGGAAGAGCACATTCAATAATTCTGGCATCGTTAAACATTGAACAAGCAGAGAATAATGTACTAGTTGTACTGTTTATGCACTTTGTTATGGACAGTCGTCCTCTTTATACATTGCAAGATAAAGATCATGTGTAGAAATGTATTTCTTTTTTTTAAAGTACATTCTGAGTGAGCTTCTTATTGCTTCTACTCAACTCGTGACAGTAAATGCACTTGAGTAAAATATCATCAAGGGTATTTTGGTATTCCGTGCACCTCTGGGCTCCACGTCCCCAGGTATCCTCGATACTTAACCTGTGCCTGCTCCAGGGCCGCCAGGGAGGGAGCGCAGAGAATCTCCCCCTTGAGGGATAAATGAAGTATATCGTAAAAAAGAAAATTGCTTTCAGGTCACTACCCAAGTATAGCGAGGGCAAAAACCCCAACATAGAAGGTGGCTTTCAAGACATAAAATGAAATAGCCGTTTGATGTGATGGAGTAGAAGATGGAACAAGTTGGCATTTGCTTTGATGGTGCCATTATGGTGTTTGTTCATAAGGTTTCTCAAAGTCCATATGCATCCAAACCGCAGGATATCAGTTATCAATAATGTATGAAAGAATTATGAGGAGGCAGAAACGCAAGACCTGAATCTTGGTGGCTCTCGTTCCATCAAACAGCCAAAGTGAACCCCACTTCCTTTCTGTCCCCGCCCTCAATTAAACGAGAGAAGCACACAAAAGCTTCTCTGGGATCGAACCGCACGGCTGTCTCCCGTTAAGAGTCGAGCCCTCTGCCGGCCCGAACCGCCACACTGTGACCAGATCCACATGTTCGAGGAAAGGGTTAGAACATCTGCAGATAAGAAAACCGCCACTTTTATGAGAAGAGGAAATCAAGAGGCTCGACGCGGAGCGCTGGCAATGTGTGAAGCAGAAGGTGAAGCGAGCCATGCTTCCTTTCAAACCACAGAGTCCGTGATGTTCGAGGCCGCGGCTGAGCGCTTCGGAAGACAGGCGGGTCTAAATAGCTGCGTTGTTGTGTTTTACCATTGAGCCGTAGTCATCAAGAGGCAAATTCAAGTGAGTCATTAAATCCAGTTCTCCTTCACTACACTCCTCCGTCTGTACAGGATCAAGTTGATCATGTAGAAAATGGCAAAAAAAAAGAATCATGTTGTGCAAGTTTTCCTTTGTTCTTAAGTGAGGGAAATCTAAGTTGTTAAACCGCAAATCAC